TTGAAGTTTGTATCTTTCATCTGAAGCAATTACTCCATTAACAAAGATGTATCAGAAACATCAGTGAGCCAGTATAGCACTCTTGCACCACTGAAGGGGCTAAACTGGGTTTGTGCATCTTCCTTAGAGAATATGTGTTTTATTATGACCTTAACTATAAATACATATATATATGAATAGGATTTTCTCTCACACACCCCCCTTTTAATCATTATCACTTAAGTGTAAGCCACCACTTTCCCCCACCCCTTTTTCTGAAAAAATGCACTTTAATTGCTAAAAAAAAAAAAAAAAAGACACAGTGGCTGTTTCTGGCGCTGAAATGAGATTACTTCAGGAGGAGAGTTAAGGAGGGAGAACTCTGCCATACCATGTAAAATTAACCAAGTTCCTTAATGTGAACATATGAATACGGACATCTGTTTTTAAATTCCCCTCACCCCCTGCCAGAGGGAAAAAGAACCAAAATGAAAAGTTTTCAAAATGCCTACCCCGATTTTAGAAGTTTCACTGAGAAAAATACCCAGTGTTAAGAGTTATTTTCTCAGCTACCAAATTGTCAGAAACTTCTGAGTTTTTTGGGAGGCTGTTGGGATCTTATTAAGAAGTTAAGTGAAAACACAAAGGCTGTATGTTACGGTCCTGATCTGTGTCATTTCTAAGTGTCAGATTTGTTCTTGCCCTTAATTTGACAAGTGTTCTCCATCTCTCCTCCTGTAGATTCTGTCCTTCCCCTGATGACAAGCCAGTAGTTCTTGGTGGGGTTGCATGTCTCCTAGAGCCCAGGAGCCCTGTTGTGTCGGGGGTGGGGGGAGGGCAGGAGAGGGGCAGAGAACTGGGATTGGGGGAGGGAGATTCAAAGAGAGTGAAGATATGGATTTATATAAACATATTTAAAGCAGTTTAGCAAAAGCTTTCTCGTTGAACAGCTTTAAGAATAATGTGAATGAAATCTTAGCAACTTGGTTAGTAATCTGAAAAGTCTATTAATGTATACTTGAAATTCTGTTTGTATAAAGAATGCATTTTCCTCTTTATTTTAACACTGTGTAAAAGAGCATTATGCATGTGAGTGGTTTGAGAATTAAATGGTTTAATAATCAAATTTGAATGTCTATTCTGTACCTAAAGATTAATTTGAGTTTTTTGGATTCTTTTAGTGTGATGGGAATACTAAATTCAAGCTCCCCCTGCCCTTTCAGGATGCCTGCTGTCTTTCAAGGTGAAGCAGTGACATATCTGCCGCCTTCACTTTCTTGACCCAGATGTGTTCACTGGGTAGAGAACAATCGAAAGCATCATCTTACCAAATGCCCCAATAGTATCTTCATTCTCTTTTACCCGTATTTTGTTTCAAGCAGCAGTGTCCATTCATGATTGTGAGATGGGAGTAGTTTTATTTATTTTTACTTCTATTCACAAACCAATATAGAAAGAAGTGCAATGAATAAGAACACTTTAGTTGACACAAGGGTTGGCTACTCTGCCCATGAAGATAACAGTGTTTAAAGCAACTTCCCTTATAAGAACCAGGAAGGGCCTGTTGGCCTTGAAGGTCACCCTACTGGGGTTCAGCGAACGGCCAGCAATCACGATGGCAGTACTTGCTGCTGCTTCACTGCCTTCCTCGTTTACCTGCCAGTCACGTAGGAAACAAAATTGCTACATTAGCTACTCTGCAGTTCATTATAAGCAGGTAAATCATCCACAGACATAACAATTCCTCAAAGTGCTGTTTGTTTTCCAATAGAAAGTACAATTGGGTCAGGTCAGGTTGCTGCCGGAAGCCTACTTTTACTCCTTTCTTCAACCGATGAATTGATGAAGGCATTTGTGTTAGTCAAAGCCTTGTGCTAGATAATAAGTACAAAGGTCCCATTCAGGTAACCCCTTAACCAGGAATCTTGATGTACACAAGGTTGCCACATTTCTGGCTGGCACCATTGTACATGGTGTTACAAGAGGATTGTTTTGTACCAGCTGCTATACGAGAACTTAACTCAAAATCAGAGCTCCTTAGTTGAGATAGTTTTACTCTTCAAACATCAAGTTCCCAGATACAACTACTCCCAAACAGCTACTGGGGATCTAGGGCCTGTGAAGAGAGCCGGGTCCTCTGGCTATATGAGATAAATATTTATTGGAGTAACAGACTGGAACAATGGTGTTTGAACTTGGCTAATACGCAGAATCACCACAGGTCTAGAAAGAGAAACCTTAAGACAATTTTGCTTGTGGACGTAGAATATCACTAAACTCTGTCCATGTCTCTAAGTGGAAGCTTTCTGATCTCTGAGTTTTGTGGAGCTGGTTGATCATGCTCTCTCTTTCTCCCCCCTACCTACCCGTACCCCTCTTTTTTATCCTTCCTTACCTTTTACCTCGCTACCCATACTACCTATTTCACAATCGTTTTAGGGCAGACTGGAACTTTCATATGACCAGGATCCTTTTATTCAAACCAGGATCTGGTTTGTAAAGGCTTCCCAGGAGATGTACAATCAGTTGGAATCTCATATGTTGGGTTCTCAAGGTTTTCAAGGAAAACAACTTTGTTCCAAGGTCCGTGGAGGAACCTTGGGTCATTGTGTAGTGGGAATAGGTTGGCTAAAATGAATCCAGACCTCTGCTTCTTCCTAATAGTAACTCAAAGGCCTCAAGGCTTTGACCACATGTATTTGGGGTCCTTAGAAGAGCATTTTCAGTGATAGTTAAAACCCTGAGGATTCAGCCTCCCTGCAGTGTTCTTGAATATTCTTTCTTCCATCTCCACATGGAAGGGAGTGTCAGCAGTGTCATTTTTATTTCCAAAATGATTAATTCAGCATTCATGTAAAATCCCTTATTCTAACCTCAATACCTTAGAGATTGTTGTTGTGCTACACATCACTGACATCTATTGTCCTACAGGTTATATACCCATATTGAGGGTTTTGGCACCAAGCTCATAGCCTCCCTGTCCACCATAACTTCTGCCATTATTTGACTTAGACAATTACAGCATCTTAGTAGGAGACTCGTTGAGCACCCTAATCTTCCATTTCTTTCATCAAACCCTATGAGCATTACCTTCACTCCACTTAAGCAAACCAGTTCCATGGCTACTCCTTGGACTTGCTATCTCATAACTATTCTACCTTTGAAATTATAATTACAGAATTCTTCTCTCAGACTATAACCTCCTATTTTCAAAATAGTGTTTATTTTTTCACTCCCATTACAATTAATCTGACCTCTTCCTGTCCCTTAAAACCACCACTTTCCTCCTAACTACACATCTCTTACTGAGCTTGAACCCCGAAACTAGTATACTTAGTAGCTCTGTGCTCTGAAACCTTTCCCTTTGACCACCTTTCTTTCCAATTTCCTCAATCCTATGACCTCCTCTAACATTGGCCCATCTTCTTTCCTTCACAGCCTGGCTCCCCCCAAAGAATAGTCTATTCCAGAAGTTCCCAAACCGAACTGTGCATCAGAATTCCCTGAGGAGCTTTGTAAATGTACAGATTCTCAGACCTCACCCTAGAATCTTCAAGGGTCAAGCTTCCCAGATGACTAATGGTGCCGGTCCATAGTTCTGTAATTGTTTGAGAACCACAAGTTGCACAGGCTATACATAACTATCACTCCAATGAAGGATGCCGTGCGCATCAGTTGGGGGAAACACTAGGTTTAGCAATAATCAGCAGTTTTCTTCCCTGTAGGGCTTCTCAGACCTCAACACACCAGTGTACGTTGCCATTGTTAATCTCCCTAGAAGAGGATATAGGTGTATTTGACCACCTAACTTTTTGTTTTCTGCAGTATAGTCTAGTGCAGTAGTTCTCTGGAACACACTTTGGGACAATGATCCACTCACCACCTCCCCATCCTTACCTTCCAGTCACTCTTCAATCAGAACAATCAGGCATGTGCACCACTATTCTGTCCAAATTCCTCAAGGAGGGTAACCTATGGACACTTCAATCTTCTTAGTAGATGTTTCTCATTTTCTTAAAACTCGTTTCTGAATTTTCATGACCCCATAGTCTTCTGGTTCTCTTCCTCCTCTGAATTCCTTCTCAGTGGCCCTTACTAGCTCCTTTTTCTCTGTGTCACCCTCTCCAAAATATCAATGTTCCCCAGGAATCCAGGCCCAACCAGTTCTCTTCCTATTCTATGTGCTTGACTTGCTGTAGGAGACGTGGGAGGAGGGAGGGTAGAACAATCATACTACAGAGGATTCAGGAGAGGCTGCACTACATCAGGTCACAGGGAAGAGGGGGGCTACAGGTTTGGGGATTGAAGGATGTGGAAATATGCCTTTCACCACAGATGCAACTGCTGTTCATGTGTCTGCTATCTTTATACCATAAAAGTCAGTGGAGCAAGAACTCTAGTTACAAATTGCACAAGATATTGATGTATTGAATAATAAAGTGGCAGAAACACAGCATAGGAAGAGAGAGCAAAGGAAGGGCTACTTACCTCAAGAAATGCCTTATGGAATGCATCTGAGACGTAGAGGTCTTCCCGGCCTTCTGCAACAATACCTGGAAGGAAGACCAGAGAAGCCACAGTGAAATGGGAGAAAGTTGGCTTCAGCCCACAGAAAGGAATTCAGTTTGAATTAAGAGGTCCTTTTGGGCTTTTGTGAGAAATAGGAAGAAATCCTGGACCCTCACCTAATAACTCTCAAAATATGAACACATGCTAAAAATAATAAAGTACTTTGGGCTGACGTTTAGCCTGACTTCTGTGAATTTACTCTCATGCTTCAGCTTTTGTGGGGGGATTTGATACCTAAAGAAAAGCCCCATATAATAGGATTATCTTCCTACTCTTAACATTTGGTAACATTTTAAAGAGAGAGATTGGTTTTTGGACCTAGTTTAAAACACTGCTCAAGCCTGTTGCCGGTGAGTCAATTCCGACTCATAGCGACCCTATAGTACAGAGTAGAACTGCCCTGTAGGGTTTCCAAGGAGCAGCTGGTGGATTAGAACTGCTGACCTTTTGCTTAGCAGCCAAGCTCTTAGCCACTGTGCCACTAGTGCTCCTAAAGCAGTGCAGTAAAGGAAAATTCAATTACTTAACATTATAAAATTTTTAAAAATCTATTTTAATGCATATTTTTAAGGAATTAGGGGTTGGAGGAACCAAACCAACTAAATACCATTACTGAAGTATCACATCTTGGAAAAGGTTAGCTGTTTTTGTCTAAATGGCCTTAGTGGCACATATGGGCCTTTTGAAATGTCAGGTGAAGGGCTTATTAAATGTCAGCTCTGCCTGTTTTGAGGGACCCAGCTCTTAATCATATCTGTCTCTCTGCATTCTAATGCCATCTCAAATTCCTCTCCACCTAGTCCCATCTCCTCTATCAGTTATAGACTCACAGAGTGTTAGTGCCAGCTAAGCCTATAGAGATGCTAGAGCAACCTCCCCCTTTGACAGAGGCAGAAACTGAGGCCTTGAGGGAAGGGATTCCCACAAGGTAGCGGTAGAACTGGGGTTAGAATTCAGGTGTCCTGACTCGTTGCTCTTTTCTACTCTTTTTTCCTCCAACTCTTCCACCTTTGGTCAGACCACCTTGGGGGCAGAAAGAGCAGGAAAGTCTTTCTTACACTAACCTGGGAGCCTGGCCTTTTCAGGGCTGAACAGGTCCACAAGGCCCATGTCTTGCAACTGTTCCTTCACACTGAAGCTGTCCTCGATGCGGAAGCGGGGCATGTGGACCACAAGCATCGTCTCCTCCAGCTCATCCAGCCACTCCTGCTGTACCTCCGGGGAGAGTTGCTGCTCTACCTTGGCCAGTCTCTTCTCAGGCTTGGGCAGGATGAGCACCATGGTGATGTCATCACCCTTGAAGGGCAACTCAAGCACCTGGGTGCCTTCTGCCACGCGCCGATACCGGAACTTGCCCTCCTGGTACATCATAGATACTGGACATGACTCCCCATCATCCTTGTAAAAGAGTTCCTTCCTTGTGTTCTCAGGGCTGAACTTTGACTTCCACAGGCCCTGGAAGAAGAGGCCAGGTGGGAAATACAAAGCAAGAAGAACAAAAACATACACAGGAGAATATTCATGGACATGGAAATATTCATGTTATATTATTACATATATACATGTATGTATATATAGATGAATAAAGACTGAAAGGATATACACAAAAAGATTAACAACGACTGTGTCCGAGTGATGGAATTATAAGTGTTTTTTCATTTTATGTGTACTTTTATGTATTTCTCAGATTTTCAATAGTAACTGTTTGCTTTTATAATCAGAAAAATAAAAACTAACAATAAGAACAACCTACAAGTTTTTTTGCAAGTCTCTTCTCAAGTTTAAATCTAATTGCCTTTTGCTTTCTGTCTCCTTTCAGCCTCTTCCCCAAGGGCAAACCTCCAAAGTGCCCCAGACAAAGTCCAGACACAGATGACAGTCCCAGTGGGCTGTCTGGAAGCCTTATCAGGCAGAGGGTGAGTCCTGGCTGACTTACTGTTCAGGGTGGGAGGGACCCTGAGATATAAGATATGCTTTTGAAATTTCTGAATTGTAATTATCATTTCTTATTACTTTCTAGCTCTTTGATTCTGGGACAAGTCATTTAACTCTTTTGAGTGTTGGTTCTTCATGTGTAAAACTAGGAGCTGGTGATGGCTAGTATTTATAGAGTGCTTACCATGTGCCAGGCACAGCTTTAAGCAATTTACTTGGAATAACTTATTCTGTCCTCTCAGCAACCCTCCAAGGTAGTTCTATCATTATCATTATTTTATAGAGGCAGAAAATGGGGCATAGAAAAGGCTCAGGTAACTTATCCCAAGTTCACACAGTCAAAAATGGAAGTCAGAATTCAAACTAGGTAATCAGTCTGAGGGGCCCACAATCTCACTTGTGAAGTTGTGAGGATCAAGAGGACTAGTCAATGCCACAGTGTTCTGTAAACTGTAAGGGCAACAGAAATTGTGGAAATGCAGCCTACTCTATTCCTGTCAAGAGACAGTGTGTTTCATGACAGCAGTGACTGACTAAACCCCTGGGGCCCGTAGGAGGGAAGAAGATAGGGCATGTCCCAGGATGGGCACATGGGCCACACTTCCCATCTGCCTGAAACTGGAGCCCTCGTGAGTGTCAATGATTTGTTTATTCCCACCACCCTGTCCTTATCCTCCTTGCCAGATGTATCAAGTTGAAACAGCCTTTAGAACTCGACTCTCTGAGGAAGACTAGGGCATCTGCATGGTCAAATAACAAGTTGCTAAGTTGGAAGTGAGCCTCGTTCCTGGAGGTTCAGAAGCTTCAGGCAAGGGGACCTTTGAGTTGTAGAACCTGCTCCAGATGATGGAGAAAATCTCAGGAATGACAATAGACTCTGTCATTTTCCAAATGTCAAAGTAGAGTTAACCAGACAGTAGAAATTGTCACATATGTATGAGTTTATCACCATGCACACGTTGCAGCAGGGTGTGCTGGGTTTGTGAGTGTTTACACTCTGCACACTACTAGGCCCTTGGGCTCAGCCCAGCAGCCATGACCCTAAACGTTCTGGACTCTAAGCAGACTTCCATTGCCTGCCGAGACCATGTGTAAACCATTTCTCAGTAAGGATCTACGTACATACACCCAGTGGTGTGAAAGAAGGTGGGCTGGGAAGCAAGAGGAAATCCCCAGGGTGTCTCCAGGCTGTTTTGAGTACCTTGAAGTAAATGGTGTTAACCAGCACCAGGACAGTGAGCTCATTGATGGCTTTTTCGGGAATGACATCAGTGATACGCCCTTCGGTCTTGTTGGCCACCCAGTTGTTGATGGTCACTCTGGATTGCTCTGCATTTTCCTGAGGAGAACAGGAAACAAACCTACCCACCTGTGCTATTCAATCAGCTTCTCCATTTACCCATGCAGCATTTTATTTTGCTTATCAGCCCTCTGCCCTTTCCAAGCACTGGGTTAAGAAGCCTTCACTTTTTCAACCCAAACTGAGAAAACCTCACATAACTAGTATAGTGCCATGAATCTTCCAGATTAATAAGTATTCCATATTAATAAGTTAATAAGTATTAACAGAAGAAAGAGAAGGAAAGGAGAAAAAAGAGAAGTAGGGATAAATAAAGGAACAGAATAGAAGAAAGGAGAAAATAGTCTGAGAAAAGACAAAATATTATCTTCTCTGACTTTGGAAAACCTCAACTCACTGGAGTAGAGTTTCCAAAACATGTTCCATGGGAAGCTAATAAGTGATGGGGGTGGAGACCCATGTGGTCAAATAAGCTTGGGAAATGCTGTTTGAATAAAGTCAACAGGTTTCTTTATTGCAGGACTTCTCAGAACAACAGGCTCATGTACTTTATGAATCTCCAAAGGGAGAATATAAAATGCAATTTTATTTAACCATGGTAGCTTTTTAAATTAAATTAAATATTTATAGAACTGGCATTTCCAGAATGCCCTTTAGTATATATTTGAATTTGGTGGATGAAATGAAGAATGTATTATTTAACTTTTTCAGAGCAGCCATTGCAATCTAGGAGCCCTGGTGGTGTAGTGGTTAAGAGCTACAACTACTAACCAAAAGGTCAGTAGTTCAAATCCACCAGCCACTCCTTGGAAACCCTATGGGGACAGTTCTACTCTTGTCCTATAGGGTTGCTATGAGTCGGAATCGACTCGATGGCAACAGATTTGGTTTTTGTGGTAACAGGTTTGGTTTTTGTATTGCAATGTAAGCCATGTTGTTAGTTGCCACTGAGTTGGCTTCGACTCACAGCCATCTCATGTATAATAGAACAAAACGTTGTCCACTCTTGCTCCATCTCAATGATCTTTGATATGTTTGAGCCTATTGTTGAGACTATTGTGTCGATCCATCTAATTGAGGGTTTTCCTCATTTTCGCTAAGCCATAGAGACTATTGATTTCTCAGGTTTCAAACAAGAATAAGTATTTCAGGGGCTCTGACTTATAGTTTCCTCCCCCACCAGCCATCAGACAGCACAGCGATGTTCATTTGGACCCTGCTTCTCCACCTTCTCAATCTCTGAGTGGGGAAGAAGAGCTCTGAGATCAGGAGATCTACAACTCACCTTGAAGTCCAGAGGCTGGAGCTTGGCTCCATATACCACTTCACTGATGTCCTGGTAGGTTTCATTGAAGGTGAGGGATTTGTCTCCAAAAAGGCGGTTGGCAGATACCAACTCAGAGGATTTATTGGCTTTTCGATAGAGTCGGCAGTTCAATTTGGCAAAGAAGAAGTGGACCTGATCGGATGTTTTCTCAGAGATGGTATCAAACTTAAACACCTATAGAAGCCAAACAAAAATGGTAGTGGGTATGGGGGGCAGCGTGGCTAACATGGGTGGCAAATACAATGCCAGTCACTACCTGACCCGTAGCCACCTTAGTTGTGAGCTCCTCCAAGCACAGTGCATGGCACAGCATAAATGCTCGGCTTATGTTTCTTAAATGGATAAAAGAAAGGAAGGAGAAAGGGAGAAAGACTGGGATATGAACTAAAGTCCCTAAAGGGCTCTAGACCAACAGCCAGATGTTTTCTTGCTGGAATGGGAAAAGTGCTGTTGGTGGTTCTGGGCAGAGAGATGATGCAAGGACAATGCCCCTTCTAGAAACAGACACTTCCAGGCCATCTACTGGGGCTGGCTCCTGTGGGGGGCTCTTGGATGCTGGTGGTAGAGATGAGAAAGAAAAACAGTTATTCCATCAGTAAAGGATTAAAGAGGCCCAGAATCAAAGAGTTTCAGGGTTAAAAAACACTTAAAGGTCATCTATACTGGTCACAGCCACATGAAACTGTCATACCCCAACCCGTCGCCATCACCAGCACCAAGGCAAAGTGAGTGAGGCTACTCTTTCCCCTCCTTTCCACACTCTGTCCTCAGGCAGAAGAGGTGTTTTGGCCTTATTTGTTCCCTGCTTTTGATTTTCTCAATTTTGCTCTAGTTTGTGCTTCCTTTGGGATGATGTCTTTTCCCAAAAGCTTGGTGCTGAATTTCTCTTTTCCATCCCACTCTTACTATACTTTTCCAACACATAGCATCTCGTTCATCTCTTTCAAAGGAGAGGAGTACCTACAGGAAGTGCTTGTTTTGGAAACAGTGTTCTGCTTCTGCTCTTCTTGTAGGAAGGGTCACATTTATGATCTCTCTTGGGGACAGAGACATGGAGGATGTGGAAGAACTTTGAGACCAATACCAATATATATGTGGTTTACTGAAAAGTCCAAAGAGGGCAATATTATTTTTCTTAAGAGTTGTCTCTAAAGCTAAAGTTTCTTTTGCAGAGCAAAAGAGGCAATGAGGTTCAGTGGAAATCTGGCCACTAGAGTAGAGGCAAACCCTCCTAAGATCCACAGACTCTAGTGTCTGGGATTCAAGTAAATACTCTTTACCACGCTGAGGTATAGGGAGCTCATTGTGCCTCTTTGTTGATTCTCTTTGATTATCTTTGCTTCCAGAGTGTGATCCAACCTAAACAAGGTCAGCCAGGCACCCCAGCCAAAGGCAGATAATGATCTAGTATTTCTATGACTTATTATAGTGTATCAGTGGCTAGTTAATCCATGACTTTTCTGCTTATCTTGCTCCATTTCCCCATCACAAAAAGGGAGAAACTAAGTCACTGCCCTGAAATGATCAGTACTGCACAGAGCCAGAAGAGGCTCTTACTTCATCGAGGCTTCTCTTGGCCTCCTTGGACCCTGGATCTCAATATATGGCCCTAAAATTCTCATGCCCAAGAGGCAATATGTCTGAGCTCACTAGGTGGTAAGCTCCCCCAGGGCAGGAACTGGAAATCACCACTACCCAGCACAATGCCTGACACAGGAGAGGTGTTGAATGAATGAACATATAAATGACCAAATGAATGAATAAACATCCAAATGGAAGAATGAGTAAGAAGAGAAGTAGGAAGAGACACAAGCCTTCCTTCACTTTAAGGTAGCCCAAAAGAAGAAACTCAGATTTACAAAGGAAACATCCAGGCAGTAATTCCTTACCTAATTAAAAAAAAAAAAAAGTTTTCAAAGAGAATCACAACCCATAATGAGCTCCCCAGTGAGCTTTCGTGTTGGGTTAGGAGCCATTGGACATAGAGAAGCCTGAAAGGTGGTCCCAGCAAGTGGGCCGGGGAGAAGGGCTTTGAATTGTACCTCCATCAGCTGCTTGAGGGTGTTGTCACAGGCACCCAGCTTAGTCATAGCAAAAGCTGTGGAGATACTCAGGGGCGACAGGAAAATGTTGTCATTGTCATTCTTGGAGTCGGCCAGGTGCTGATAGAAGGCGGTGGCAAAGCGAGTGTTGGCCTTGGACAGTTCCCAGACCCTCCGGTTGGTGGCCTCGGGGATCTTCTGCTCTGGGCCCTCTTCTTCAATTGCCTTCTTCTCTGGTGAGCGGTAAATGCACATGGGATTCACAGGAATGTCCCGGGGTTTGGCGGTGCAGATGTCCTCCACGAGGTTCCAGTGGCAGGTTGCACAGCTCCAGAGGCCAACAAGCAGCAAGGAGAGAAGACATACCTTCCTACAGAGAGACAGAAAGCAGAGTTAAGCTGCTAGGAGGCCCCGTTACCCCCTGTACCCACCATAGACTTGCCGCAGTACAGCGTAGGATTCCAGCCCACTGGTAAGCTCAGGAGAGGGCCAAAGCCTTTGAACAAAGTACAAGGGCCCTAGAATAAGTCTAATCCTGGATTCCTTGCATTTGACTCTTCCCACTTGCTTGGACATAGTCATGTTGGAATTAGAATAAACTACTGAATCAACTGATAGTTATTAAAAGTATTGTGTGCCTCCCGACTGAGTCCAGTACAGCTAGATGGTGCCCGGCTACCACAACTGACTGCTCTGACCAGGATCACAACAGAGTGTTCTGGACAGAGCTGGAGAAGGATGTAGGACATAATTCTAACTCACAAAAAAAAGACCAGATTTACTGGTCTAAAGGAGACTGGAGAAACTCTGAGAGTATGGCCCCCAGACACCCTTTTAGCTCGGTGAAGTTATCTCCGAGGTTCACCGTTCAGCTTGGGAGTGGACAGCCCCGTAAAACCAAATGGGACTAATGAAGTACAGTAGTCCAGTGACAAGGGCCAGAAGGCAGAAGGGGACTAGGAAGCTGGTGATAGGGAACCCAAGGTTGAGTAAGGATATTGTTGATGGGTTGTGAAATTGTTAACCATTGTCATAGGGCAACATGTGTACTAACTGTTAAATGAGAAACTGTTTTGTTCTGTAAGCCTTCATGTAAAGTGAGAATAGCAGCACAACTGGAAGAGCGTAGTCAATGTCACTGAACTGTGCATGTAGAAATTTTTGAAATGGTGTATCTTTGGCTATGTGTATTTTAACCAAAAAAAAAGGTTTGAGAAGTTAGAGGGTTAACATGTTGTGGGGTTGTTAACCAATGTCATAAAACAGTATGTGTACTAGTGTTTCATGAGAAACTATTTGTTCTGTAAGCCTTCACCTGAAGTACAATAAAAAAAAAAAAAAAGTATTGTGTGCCTGCAGCCGCATGCTGGGAGCTATGGAGAAATAAAGAATACAAAGCTAGAGTTGGGTGAGACAGCATATATACACATGAAAAATTGGCGGGGAACATTAGTGCTCAATGAACTAAAGAGTTAGGGCAGTAGGGGGAGCCATTTACAGAGGCTGGTTAGGGAGGGCCTCATAAATGGACAGAGTTTAACCTGGATCTTAAGGGATGGGAAGTATTTCTATTGATGGAGAAGAGGGATTTCAGTAGTATAAGAGGGGTAAGAAGGAACAAAGGAGTCCTTGTGGCACAATGGTTAAACCACTTGGCTGCTAACTGAAAAACTGGCCGTTTGAACTCACCCAGTGGCTCCGTTGGAGAAAGACCTGGCAATCTGCTCGCATAAAGATTATAGCCTAGAAGACCCTATGGGACAGTTCTATTCTGTCACATGGGGTTGCTATGTGTGGAAAATTGACTAAGCGGCACCTAACAACAACAAGAAGAAGGAGAAAATGGAGCAGAGGCACCACCTGTGTGTAGGAAATACTCAGATCTCTAGTTCTAGTCCCTACCCTTCCGCTGAGTTCCGGACCAGTTCTTTGCTGGACAGTTTCACCTGCATGTGCTTCGGGTTCCCTAGTGAAACATGGCCACACTTGTAACTCTCACTCATATGCCTGCTTTTTCTTCTGTGTCCTCCAACTCAGTAAATGAAATATTTATTCTAGAAGTCACCCTGGATTCCGTCCTTATCCAGTCAGACCCCAGATTAATTCTGCTTCGTTACTCTCTCACCAGTTATTGCCACTGCCTTAGTTTGAGCCCTTATCATTTTTGTTTTTTCCCTGACAATTTTAACACCTTCCAGACTGATTTCTCTGCCTTCAGTCTTACCCCATTCCAATCCATTCTCCTGCTTGGCATTGACAGTGACCTAGCTAAAAGGCAACTCCTCTGCTTAAAGTTCTTCAGTAGTCCCCCAGGGTCTACAAAATACAGCCTAAAGTTTTAGAGTGACATACAAAACCCTTCACAACTGGTCCTAGTTAACTTTTCAACCTCAACTCCTCTGCTGCATCCTGCGTTCTAGCCCTGAACAGCTTAAAGTTCTCCTAATTGGACACTGTTTCTCACTTCCCCACCTTTACACATGTGTCTCAGGCTGGAATACACTCCTTCCACTAGCATGTCTAGTGAACGCCTTTCGATCTTTAAGACTCAGTTGTTTGTTACCTCCTCATGAAGCCTTCCTAATTTGACCTCCCTAGACTCGTTCTGTATTTTGGCAGGGCTGTTACTGCTTTGCATCCATTATTGTTTAAAAGCCTGTCTTCCTCCCTAGTCTGGGCCCCAAGGAAGGGTAGTGTTATCTTTGGAGCCTTGGTGCTTCAGGCCACATCACAGGCACTTAACAAATACTTGTTGAATGACTGAATTAGGAAAAACCCTGAGGTGGGCAAGTCCAGGTTGTATGTAGGACAGAGGGCAGACCAGCTCCACAGGAGTGAACGGTTCTTGTTATGGGGTTGAGTAGATGAGCCACAAAAGATGAAATTTTAGAATGAGTAAAAGTAGATCTTCTGGTCCAACTCCCTCATTTTTGCACATGATAAACTGGCTATTTAGTGGCAGAATCAGCTCTAAAACCCAGTTCTAACAGAGTTTCCACTTCATTACTCTGTCTTCAAAACTAGGGAGATACATTGAGATTAGAGGGCTAACAGAAAGACCAAAGAGCTGCTGCTCTAGAGACTTCATGACTTTGCCCCCTACCCTCTTGTCTCAGCTTGCCCCACTTCCCAAACTCAACTTCATCCACATAAGACTTCCTTCCATTCCTCACTTCTGCCTGGACGAACCCCATCTCCTCGGCCTGTCTTCCCCTGGCTCACACCACTGCATCCTTCAGTTCTCAGCTGAGTTAAATGAATGCATGAAGGCAATCCCACTAGAAGACAGCATGAGAGGATTTGAGGAACAAGTATCTGCCTTCTTAGAGAGATGAAAGTTTTAGGGCCTCTATAAGTTGTTTATTTTTTTTTTTTTTTAAGCAAAAAGATTTTATTCAGCATATTTTCCAAGAGGCACAAGAGGGAAACAGACAAGCATGCTGCCAGAGCTATGTCTGCCTGAGTCCGAGGAATGTTACAGAATAATCAGTATATATTGACATTGCCAGTGGGTAAAATCATCTAAAGCTTCACCTTTTCACAGACTGGCTATAAACTGCTAAATTGCCGCGATTCTACATTTTGAATTGTCTTTCTTAATAATCATTGGTACAAATTTCAGTAATGACAGTCTGGAGGGTCTTAACTGGTGCAACAAATCTTACTCTTCACCAAATGCTAATAGAAAAAGAGAAGAGTGGAAAATATGTGGGTCTTTTGTGCTCTCTATAAGATTTGTTTATTTGAAAGTTTCCCTAAAAACTGTTTACCAAGATGGTCCTAGCTATTGTTTTTACACCTTGGGGCCCAGTTGATATGTCCTTGTGAGTCCTCGTGAGTCCAGCTCCAGCTGGGTCACATTCTTTATACTCAAGGACGGGGAATAATGGCTCCAATTTTAACTCCTAAGTCACTCCCTCCTTTTGATTGGAGATTGGAGATAACACATCGATGATCAAAACCTGGACTTAGTTGGGCTCCTAGATGGCGGCCATGGCAGGCTCTTTAAACTCATGGTGCTTGTTTTCCATCGGATACCATCTGATTCTCTACCAGGAATTTAAGTAAGATTGATGTTCTCATCAATCACATTGCAGAAATGAGTAGAACTGATGTACAACATTTTAGCCTGAGCCTTTCTTTTGCCTTTTAAGTATGTAAGACAATAGAAGATAAGTTTTATTATGCCTAATATTATCAGGATACAGACTAAGAATATTTCTATTTCTTGCAATAACGATCTAGCCCATGTACTTATTCCTGATGGTAACAAACCAAATAAATCTGGCGTTTGTAATGGTATTATAGTGCTTAACCAAGTAGCTTGCTGTCTAATTCTATGTATATCTTGTTCTACTTCTCCTATATTATCCAAATGAAACAAGAAGTATTTGCTACAGCACAAACTCTACCTTCTTGGGCTAGTAAAAAAATCTAAGACTATTCTATTATCTAATGTCACCTTGACTCACGAGGTTAGAGATCACTATTGTGTTTCTATCCCGTTAGAAACTTCATTTGCTATTAGACCCATAGTGAGGCCTCTATAAGTCTTTTTTTTTTAATTGTGCTTTAAGTGAAAGTTTACAGATCAAGTTAGTTTCTCATACAAAAATGATTACACACATTGTTATATGACCCTAGTTGCTCTCCCTATACTGACAGCACACTCCTCCTTTCCACCTTGGGTTGTCTGTGTCCATTCAACCAGCTCCTGTCCCTTTCTGCCTTCTCATCCCACCTCTGGACAGGAGCTGCCCATTTAGTCTCATGTATCTACTTGAGCTAAGAAGCATACTCTTCACAAGTATCATTTTATGTCTTATAGTCCAGTCTAATCTTTGTCTGAAGAGTGGGCTTCGGGAATGGTTTTAGTTTTGGGCTAACATAGAGTCCAGGGGCCATGTCTTCCAGGGTCCCTCCAGTCTCAGTCAAACCATTAAGTCTGGTCTTTTGACTAGAATTTGAGTTCTTCACCCCACTTTTCTCCTGCTCCATCAGGGACTCTCTGTTATGTTCCCTGTCAGGGTGGTCATTGGTGGTAGCCGGGCACCAACTAGTTCTTCTGATCTCAGGCTGATGGAGTCTCTGGTTTGTGTGGCCCTTTCTGTCTCTTGGGCTAATATTTTCCTTGTGACTTTGGTGTTCTTAATTCTCCTTTGCTCCAGGTAGGTTGGGACCAATTGATGCATCTTAGATGGTCACTTATTAGCTTTTAAGATGCCAGACGCCACTCACCAAAGTGGGATGCAGAACATTTTCTTAATAAACTTTGTTATGCCAATTGACCTAGATGTCCCCTGAAAGCATGGTCCCCAGACCCCCACCCCTGCTACTCTGTCCCTCGAAGTGTTTGATTGTATTCAGGAAACTTCTTAGCTTTTAGTTTAGTCCAGTTGTGCTGGCTTCCCTGTAGTGTATGTTGTCTTTTCCTTCACCTAAGATAGTTCTTGTCTACTATCTAGTTAGTGAATACCCCTCTCCCTCCCTCCCCACCCTCGTAACCATTAAAGAATGTTTTCTTCTGTGTTTAAACCTTTTCTTGAGTTCTTATAATAGTGGTGTCATACAATATTTGTCCTTTTGTGACTGACTAAATTCATTCAGCATAAAGCCTTCCAGATTAATCCATGTTATGACACGTTTCATGAATTCATTGTTGTTCTTTATCATTGGTAGTATTCCATTGTGAGAATATATTATAATTTGTTTATCCATTGATCCATTGATGGGCACCTAGGTTGTTTCCATCTTTTTGCTATTGTGAACAGTGCTGCAGTGAACATGGGTGTGCATGTATCTATTAGTGTGACGGCTCTTATTCCTCTAGGATATATTCCAAGGAGTGGGATTGCTGGATTGTATGGTACTTCTATTTCTAGCTTTTTAAGGAAGCACCAAGTCATTTTCCAAAGTGGTTGTACCATTTTACATTCCCACCAGCAGTGTATAAGTGTTCCAGTCTCTCCACAACCTCTCCAACATTTATTGTTTGGTGTTTTGTGTTTTTTTTTTTTTAACATGGACAAATGCCTTTACTCTAGTTGATTGAAATCTTAATACTTTGGTTTCCTTTTTAAACATGACTCTTAAAATTATTCTTTTTTTTTTCCCATACAAAAATTTATACATACATTGTTATGTGACTCTA